TTTTTGGAAAGCAGCCTATCACCCCTCATTCAAAGCATCCATTATGGTTATTTTATTATTATTATTATTATTATTATTTAATTTTATCAGCAAAGCATCCATTATGTATAATTTCTACGTGAGAATCTTGTAAAAAGCCCTATGCCACTAAGGCCTTTGTGCTTCAAATTTGTCAGCTATTTGTTTCTTGAGAGTTTTTACCATAAAAAAAGATGTCAATAAAAGTACAAGTCATCGTCCAACCCATAAAAATTACAACGTTATGCTCACCTGAAAAAAATATAACCCGATGAAATGGCTGAGTGCATGACAGGCCAAAGAATGATTTTATTCAATATAGGATGTGATACAAGTACAAGGGTAGTATAATGGTTCTGTATACAATATTTAATGTGACGTTACATTAAAGAATGAAATATAATTACTAATTCACAGTTTGTTGTCAAATTAAAAAAATTAATTGAACCAAGTCTACGAGAAAAATGGTTCGTCAGTGCTTGAATTAAATTGATCAGGAATTCAACTCCCATCAATCACTTGAAAAAAATTTCCCCTCCTCCATAATTCGTCCATGTTCAAAAAAAAAATTAAAAAAGTTAATTATAATATGTCTTGTTATGTACAAACAATTGTAAACATTGTTCATCTATATATTATTTTTGTTCATCAATGTCTATATCTTAAAGTTATTATCGAAGAATCAGGTGCTTGTTTCCATCAATGCAAAGATATTCTAAATTTTTAGTGCATTATCTTGTCTTCCTACGCCTATATAAGGACCAGAGCTGATTGCAAAAACTCATCAAAGAGAACGAAGCTAATAATCAAATTACTTGATTGCAAGTCTTTTAAGTGAGGAAAAATGTCAACTTTCGGCGGCTGCAACAATGGTGTTCAGGCTTGGGGCAACGGAGTCAATAACTGCGGAGCCAATAACGTCGGTACTGGTTCTGGAAGCCAGAACTATGGCCAAGGTTCCGGATCTAACCACGTCAGTGGTGGAATGTGGAACGTGAGTAACCCAGGCTTTGCTGGCTGCCCTATGAACGTAGGCCCTGGTGCGGGAGCTTGGAATACGGGGTCTGCTTCTGGAAGTGTCAACCAATTCAATGAACAAGCCAATCTTTCTTCAGGATATAAACCCCCTTATTGTTAAGGGTTTTGAGGCTTCGTCTGCCAAAATATAGCAGCAGACACTGATGGAATAACATAAGTTACTATGATGTTATAAATATCAATAAAGTCTGCTGCTTTGTTATATTTTGAACGTATGTTGTAGTGAAATGGACTACTAGACTAATAAAGTAAAAATTAGTGCATGCAGCAAGGCCAATTCTAACCCCTTTCGCACACACAGCATGCATCACGACTTGCGGAACAGAAATTCCTTTGGAAACAGAACCCAATTACTAAAAGAAACATCACATGCATTCTCGAACTTGCTCTGCAACCAAATAATTAAACGATTTAGCTTAAATAAACTTAAATATTTTGCTTTCCTCCCCAACGATCATCATAGAAGATTCGATTCCTAACATACTAGATTGACCAAAAAGTAATTGAGAAGAGTATTTGGACAAGTAATTGATTCTTATTGCATAGATTGAGTATTTTAGGGGCATGATTGGCGAAAGAAATAGTTTAAAAGATTAATTGAATAACTATTAAAAGTGTGATGGCTGTTAAATTGTTAACTGTGTCCTCTTGGTTTCGGACTTTCTAATCGATCACATGTATCTTACAAGTACTCCTGGTTTAATGCAGGCCCTCTCATTTCACCGTCCCTCTGACAGTGCAATATTAAAAAAATAGTTCTAGGGCTAAATTGTTATTGTCTAATAGTTCCAGGACCCAAAAATGGGAATTTAAGAATAATCGTGTGTGGAAATTTTGTTCAGTGCAGTATGAGATAATTTTTTTATATTATTTTTTGATATAATTTTTACATATTATTAGATGAATAGATACATTCAATATCATAAGTCTCATATAAATAAAAAAAATTAATAATTTAAATAACATGTTAAATTGTACCAAAAAATAGTAAAAAAAATTATTCCAAAATCATTTTTCGTTTGTGTAGATGCCAAGTCCCTCATAATTCTATCTTGGGGCAACATAATTTTCGGTAATTTCTATATATGTTGAAGCCACTGCCCAAGAATCTGGCGCTTGTTTCTGCTAACGATATCAGACGTCCACGTACAATTTCCACCGAATTCACCCAAGTACAGAATCTAGCAAGATTACTCCCTGAGCATTTCTGCAGCCCACGTCTTTTTTCAAAGAGCTAAATAATTTGCAAAATTTGTCTGTAATCACTTCTTAAAAAAAGAAAAGGGCAAGCTTTCCCTCAGAATTTTTCATACTTAACTAAGAGCCTTTCGAACATGTATGATAGTAACAATAAAAAATCTCATTTTGATATCATATCATCACAATTAATATTATTTTATCTAAATTCATATTTTTATATATTTAACTCTTGATTATTCATTTTTTTATTTTTAATAGTTAAAATTTATTATAATTTTTAAAATTAAAAATAATTATATTTAATAAATATAATAAAAAATAAATAAATTTCAACCATTAAAAATA